TGGTCTGTGGGTCCCAGAGCCTCATGACCTCTTCCTTCCGCTGCTGAGAATGGGGCTGGCACCCTGTGCCTTCTGCCCTCTGTGCCCTGACCCGCCCTGGGCTGGGTTCTGGCCCTCACCCAGGAGGGATGCCTGAGGTGTGTCTGGGATCCAGCCAGCTCTGGCAGGGCCTGGGGGTGCTCTGTGGCTGGGTGGAGCCCTGGTAGCCCTTGGCAGGGCCTGGGCACTGTGGACAAGCTCAGGAAGAGTTGGGGGCGGGGTGTTCGCGCAGGGCCACGTGGAGGGGTGGAGCCGGCACAAAGGTGGTCTCTGCACCCCAGCCAGCGCCCACCTGGGAGGAAACTGGCTGGCGTGGCCCCCCTCCCCCCTGAGAGCTGGGCCACTTTCCGAGTGGTCCTTGGAGGCCCAGACAGTCTTGGGGTGCAGGCCACATGGGTACAGCCGGGGAGGGTGTGCTGCTGGGTGTATGGGCACATGCCACACGCCCTGAACCCCAGGCCCTGTGTGGAGAATGCGTTTTTAATTTCTAGCCTGTTTCCCTGGACGCAGGCAGACCGGACTCAGCCTGGCCCATGGCAGCGGGGCCCTCTGACGCGTCCCCAGAGCTGCGGGCCAGGCTCGACTGCCTTCTCCTCTGTGCCACTCATCTTCCGCCTGCCTCGGCCCCCACATCTGTGTTGGAGAGCCCCTGGGGGGGTGGGGTGCCTGGAATCAAGGCACTGAAACACGATGTGGTGTGTGTGGCCCCTCCCACAGAGGCACACACTCAGCCTTGAGACCCCCAGCCCGGGCTCCAGCCAAGGATAGGCCCACCCCTATAGGGGGGAGGACTTCAGTATATCCCTCCCCACCCCAGAGGCAAGTGAGGGACCAGCCCCTGCCCTCCCTGCCCACTTGGATCCCTGAGTCTCCTTCCCAGGGCAGGGCCCTCCCCCCAGGTTGCCCCCCTCCACCCCGAGTGCCTGTCCAGCACCTGGGCCCCTCTGCCCCAGGGTGCCCACAGGTGGGGCGGCCACAGGAGGACTGGCCGGGGGAGGGACAGGCTGCCGACCGCCCAGGCATCTGGGCCATGTCTCCGACGTGTGCAGACCTCATACCGCCAGGGCTGTGAGGATGCCAGCGGGCATGGTGGGGGCACAGGCCTAAGAAGGGGACAGGTGGTGTCCTCCCTTACTCCCACCATGTCTTCTCTAAGCCTTGGCTCTTTCTTCTCCCTGGTGGCACTGAGCCCTACCCTGTGGACAGCCTGGTGCCAGTGGCCTGTGCAGAGTTTGGGGAAACACAGGCTCTGGAGGGGAAGAGGTGTTCAGGCTAGGGGCCACTGGGCCCCGCTCGGCAGGAGGCGGGAGCCCAGAGCCCAGACTCACTTGTGTAGAGACGAGACTTTCGAGGTCCCTGGCTGCTTGTAGCGGGTGTAAGGGCGTGGGACTCGAACCTCAGCAGGGCAGGGGTCTCTCCAGAGTGCAGTCCACAGCCTGGGGGTGCTCCAGGACAGTGGGCAGGAGTGGGTGCTAGCTGAGACCTCAGCAGGAGGTCCATCCCAGCCTCTTCCCCTGGCCTGGCCAGGTGGCAAGTTCACCTCTTCTTGGGATGGAAGATTCCGTTTTGTCTGAGAGCCAGGTGTTGGGCTAGTTCCTGGTTCGGTCTGAGCTCCAGGGTTGAGCTGGCCATTCTTGGGCCTTGTGAATGAGCCCTGCACAGGGGCAGAGAGGGCTGGCCTCTGTAAGCCCCCTGCTGCCCCAGCTCTTCCGGGTCCCTTGCAGGCCTGGAGCCTGGCCACTCGGGGCAAGGACACAGTGCTCAGTCTGCCCGGTGCCCCAGGGCCTGGTTCACTCAGACACGCAAGCGTTGGAGAGACCCCCCTCTCCCCTGAACCTCAGTGTTCCCATCTGCAGAATGGGCAAGCGTGCCGCCTGCCAAGGCCACTTAGGGGTCAGGAGAGGAAGCTGCCCAGCAGCCTGAGCACAGCAGCCTGGGCCACTCGTAGACTCAGAGTTGAGGCACTCAGGTGGTGTTGCCGCTAAGTGGATGACCGTGAGGGGAGGGACAGAGGCCCAGGCACAGGAGAGGATACGCCTCTGTCCTTTCAGCTGCCCCAGAGGCTCCAGTGGCCTCTGTCCTCGGGTATCCCCTCAACTGATTCCCAAACAGTCCTCACCCTCGGGGTCCCTGGGTGAGGCCATGTCCTCCCCTGGACCCTCACTCTATCACCCAACCCTTCTGCCACATCCCTGCGGCTGGTAGAAAGGTCTCCCCACTTTATCCAGGAAGCCCAGCGGCATCTGCACACGCCCCATGCCAGGGGAGGAGGGCTCTCTCTCTATGACCGAGGTCAGAGGCAGCTGTGAAAAAGGCCCAGGGACAGTGCAAGTCCTCCGGCTGCCAGCAGGCCCTGACCCCTTCCCCAGTGCCCCTCGGTACTTTCCGGTCAGCACTGAGTCCCTGAGTGACACGCCGTCTTCTGGGGCGGGCCCTGAGTGCTCACCCTGACCCCTCCACTGCCCCCTTACCTCTCACACTGCTCCTAGCACACACCCTTTATCAAGGCACTGTGTTGGCGTCAGTTATAGCTGGCTCCGAAACAAAAGGTCCAGGGTTCAAACCCACCAGCTGCCCAGTAGGAGGAAGTGAGGCTGTCTCCTCCCGCAAAGATGGACAAGCCTTGTAAACGCTACGGCTTGACCCTGCTGCCCCCACCCCCTATAGACAATGATGGTGCACCCTGTTTTGCCCATGTGCTCCTCTTTGCCTGTTGTGGGCACCCCGTTTGCAGGCCAAGCGCTGGCCTCCTCCTGTTCTCACCTCCTCTGCCCCCGTTTCCCCATCTGCAGATGGGAGTGGGTGATCCTAGTGGCACCAGGCCGTGGGACATCCAGGCTGTCCCCCCTGCTCCTTGGGATGAGTACGTGGTCCCCATCCTCCGCCTCCCCAACTCAAAGGGGAGTGCTGGATGCCATGGGGACTCCCCCCACCCCATGCCAGGTGTCCATTCCTAGGAGGGTCGGTGCCCCACAGAAGGGGAATGGGTTGGGAGAGCTGGAGACAGAGGGCCCCTTTAGCCAAGGGTTGGGCCTGAACCGGAGGGGAGAGGAGTGGGGGTGGGGGGAGTGGTGGAGGTGTGATTAGAAGCCTCAGAGACTGCCAAGTGGCCACGTGAGGGGCTTGGCTCTGTAGGATCTGGGGTGTCCCCTCCCCTGCAAGTACATGCCTGGCCTTGGCACTCTGGCCTGCAGGGTCTAGCAGTCACTGGCGGAGGCCCAAGGGGAGAGGGTCCACTGTGCACAAGAGGTGCTTTCCTAGCCCTGCAGACACACTTGCGTGATCACTGCTCAGGTGAGCTGGGCAGGTCCAGCCTGTGCAGGCAGATTCCGGAGGACGCCTCCCCAATCCCCACCCCAACATAGTTTTTAGCAACTTTGGAGACTCACGCAAGCAGCCGGTGACACTGTGGGTCAGGCGTCGGGCTGCTCACTGCAAGGTGGGCAGTTCACACCCACCGGCTACTCCCAGCCAGAGTGAAGTCCGAGATACTCGCTCCTCACAAGCCTTCTGTAGGGTAGCTAGGGGGCAGTGGATCTGGGTTTGGGGTTTTTAGGGTTCGCTGAGGACAGACTGAGCGAAACAGCCAGGCTGGCTGGGGCAGGGGTGACCCAAGGCGAACCATAGCCACTGCATGCTGCTCAGGACATTCTGTGGACGTGGAGTTCCCCTCTGGCACTTGTGCACTCTGATGCCCAGGGAACCTCAGCCGACCTCCCCCAGCTAGGGACACAGCGTGTCAGGGGTCCCAGGCTAGGTTCCTCCTGCCGGGCGCAGGGAGTGGGAGGCTACGGCTGGGGGAGCCTGGACCGCTACTGCAGGCTATGCCCTGAGTGCCCCCACACACACAGCCCCAGAGGCACCTGCTGTGTCTGGGCCTTGGTGAGTCCCCCTGCCCATGCAGTCTGGGGACGCAAGCCCCTGGCCGGGCTGATATGCTGGGCATGAGCGGGCACTGGGGAGCACCCTTCCCGCTGCTGCCTGGCAACTGTCTCCTGGGAGACTGCCGCTGGGCTCCTGGCTGCCTGTGGATGCTGAGTCTGTATCCCACGGGGTGGGGAGTGGGGTGGGAGAGAACTGGGCTCTGAGCCAGGGACAGTGCAACTGCTGGGGCTCAACAGGGGAAAGGGTGCTGGGGTCACGCGGCAGCTTTGATGTTCCCCGACGGGGCCCTGGGCACCTGGCCAAGTCTGCAGCCCATCCTGGTCCACAAGAGGATGTTGAGATTCCCAGCTGCCCCCACCCCGCGGGCAAGCAAGGCCATGTCACGTGAAAGCATGGGCCAGTGCTGGAGCTCAGGCTGGCAGGACTGAGGGGTGGGGGCGGGAGTCCACTGTGTGGCTAACTGTGCCATGTTGTGTGGGATGTAGGGGGAGGCCCAAGGCCTGGACGGCCAGCCTGACCGCAGTGTTGAGTGGTGGGGCTCCAGCCCTGAAGACAGCTCCCCAGAAAATGTCCAGGCAGGAGTGGGGTGCCCTGCTGGGGTGGGACCTGGCCAGCATGCCTGGTGCTCTCCCTTTCAGCCCCCAGCAAACTCCCGATGTTCTCAGCACTCGAGATGGGCCCCCTGGCCTGGTTCCCACAGCCTGTGCCAGGAGGGGGTGGGGGGTAGGGGTGTACAGTGTTGGGCTGGGGGCGTGGCCTTGGGCCTGTAGCCCTTCTCTGGGTCCTGCTGGGAATCCCAAGGCCCTCTCTGGATGGGGTTGGGGGCCCAGCACTGCCCCCTTTTCACAGGTGAGAAACAGGAGGGGTGTCCTTGGCTGGGCGGCCAGTCGGTCACAGGGCTGGGGTCTGAATGCCACCCTCCCCTCCGCCCCCGTTCGCTGGTCCCCCGTCTCCCTGGTGATGGCAGTCAGCCTTGACATCCAGGTCCGGGGCTGGCGCTCCGAGCTTGGGGACTGGCTGCAGCCGCGGTTGGACAGAGGCCTGGCCGCTGCTGCAGCCCTGCTGTTGGCCCGCAGGCGCTGCTGCTGCTGGGGGCGGCCGCGCTGGCCTGTCTCGCCCTGGACCTCCTCTTCCTCCTCTTCTACTCCTTCTGGCTGTGCTGCCGGCGACGCAAAAGCGACGAGCACCTGGACGCCGACTGCTGCTGCACCGCCTGGTGCGTCATCATCGCCACGCTGGTGTGCAGGTGAGCGCGCCGGAGCGGGGCGGGGCGGGGCTGACGCCCGAGGGGGCGGGGTCGTGGGCGGGGTTATGGTGGAGTGGGTGTGGCCGGGGCGGGGCCTGAGAGGCGGGGCCAAAGCGGGGTTGGGGTGGGTTCCAGGAGAGACCGGTCGAAGCTGAGAGTCGGGAGAGGAGGGGTCCAGGCCGGGGCGGCCACGACTCCTGCGACCTCAGCCCACGGGGCCCGCGGGGCCTGGGTCCCAAGTCGGCCAGGACAGGGGCCCCCAGCCCCGTTCTTGCGGCCGGCGGGTGGCCCCGCGGCCAGCAGGGCCCAGGCGGAAGCTCACCAGGCCCCCCTCGCCCAGCGCCGGCATCGCGGTGGGCTTCTATGGAAACGGAGAAGCCAGCGACGGCGTTCACCGGACCACCTACTCCCTGCGCCACGCCAACCGCACGGTGGCGGGGGTCCAGGACCGCGTGAGTGGCGGCCGTCCTGGGGGTGGGGAGGCCTGCTGGGGAGTGGGTGGGGCTGCCCCTGACCTGGGCTCCCCCTGGCAGGTGTGGGACACCGCCGCGTCCCTGAACCGCACAGCCGAGCCCAACCTGCAGAGCCTGGAGCGGCAGCTGGCCGGCAGGCCGGCGCCCCTGCGGGCAGTGCAGCGCCTGCAGGAGCTGCTCAGGGTGCTTCTGGGCCACACGGCTGCCGTCCCCTTCTGGAGGAACCCCGCCGTGTCGCTGGAGGCGCTGGCAGAGCTGGTGGACCTCTACGACTGGTACAGGTGGGGGCAGCCCCTTGCCCGCCCAGCCCAGCCGGCCCAGCGCCCACTGCACCCCCTCTGGTTGTGGGTCAGGACTCGGGGAGGGACACCCAGACCCAGACCCATCCAGCACACATCCCAGAACTGCCACTTGGGGCCCAACCTGTTCGCAAGTTCAGGCTCCGCACACACACCCCCTTCATGCTTAAGGCACCCTTCCCCCAGAATGTAGGGAAGTGTACTCAGATACCTGTCCCCTCATATCCTGCCAGTGTATGGGGACCCGCAGGTGGCTGGGGTCCCTGGGTCCCTGCATCCCTCACACACATCCCACGTTGGGATCCTGCATCCCTTACCCACCCCCAGCGTTGGGGTCCCCATAGGCAGCTGGGGTACCTGGGTCCCTGTATCCCTCACACCCACACATTGGGGTCCCCGCAGATGGACGGGTTGCCTGGGTCCCTGCACCCCTCATAGAACCCACGTTGGGGTGCCTGGGTCCCATATCCCACAAACCCACACATTGGAGTCCCCGAAGATGGCTGGGTTGTCTGGGTCCCTGCACCCTTCATAGACCCCGTGTTGGGGTCCCCACAGGTGGCTGGGTTGCCTGGGTCCCTGCACCCCTCATAGACCCTGCGTTGGAGTCCCCATAGCTGGCTGGGGTGCCTGGGTCCCTGCACCCCTCATAGACCCCGCATTGGGGTCCCCGCAGGTGGCTGGGGTACCTGGGCCTGCTCCTGCTGGATGTGACCATCTGCCTCCTGGTGCTAGTGGGCCTCATCCGGAGCTCCAAGGGCACCCTGGTCGGGTGAGTCCGGATGGGGGCTCCTGGCACCTCCTCCCCCCCACAGGGCCTTCAGTGGGACTTGCACAGACCCGGGCTGCCGTCCTGCCCTGCCCCAGGTGGAGTTTCCCATGGACAAGCCCACACTCTGAGAACCCTCCCCATGCCCTTGGCATGATGTGAGGGGCAGGGGTGTGTGTGTGTGTGTGGTGGGGGCAGGACACCTGTGTGAATGAGAGGCTGCAGACCTGCTCAGGTGGTTCTGAGGGGCAGGGCAGGGCAGGGCCTGCCTGGCCACCTGAGACTGGCTCGCTCATATGAGGGGCCTCGTGCATACTCAGGCTTGCGGGGGGGGTGGGGGGCAGGTGCCTCCATAGCGAGGGTCAGTGTCTTGAACCTGACCCCCACCCTGCCACTGTGGTAGCACCTCCCCAGAGGAGATGGTGACCGCACTCCCTGCCCCTAGGGTGTGCCTGCTGGGGGTACTAGCCCTCATCATCAGCTGGGCCTCCCTGGGCTTGGAGCTGGCCGTGTCTGTGGTGAGTGGCCAGCCCTCTGCTCTCCCCTCTCATGTTCCCCAGGGACACAGTGGTTCCCCAGAGGGCGGGTTCCCCCAGCAAGTCACCCACAGATTGTCACTCTACCTCTGAGCCAATAGCAATCCCCCAGGTCTCAAGTCTCCCCTCACAGGCTGGTTGGGCGGGGGGCGAGGCAGACAGCCTCCCCCAGCCCCTGAACAGCAGCTGTCTTCCTCCCACGGCTCCCCAGGGCTCCAGCGACTTCTGTGTGGACCCCGACACCTTCGTGACCAAGATGGTGGCGGATCACTCGGTGCTCCGTGAGGGTGAGGGTGCTGAGGGAGGCCCCCTGCCTCTGGGGGCCCCAGGGGTGAGGGACAAAGCCAAGATTGGTCAGGCCGGGCTTGTCAACAGCCAGGAGGGAGAGGAGCCCCTGACAGGTGCTTTTGGGGTACCGGGTTCAGGGGCACTGTGGAGACCACGAAGGGGCCACACAGCTGCCCACATGGGATTATGCTCCGTCCTTGCCGGGCCCCCCCCCCCAACTCCTGCGACGTGGCACAGAGCAGAGTTTGCACGTGGGCACTAGGTCCCCTGCCAAGGGTGGACCTCCAGAGGGCCCCTGAGAATGGCTTCAGAGCAGGGATTCCCGGGAGGTGGGAAGGGCAGCCCCGGCAGTGGCCGATGGCTGAGAGCAAGAGGTGGCCAGCTTCTGCAGTTCCAACAACACTGGGGAGTGAGGATTGTGGGTAAACGGCTTCTGAAAACACTGGTGTCCACACTGAAAGATGCTTGCGTGGCGTGAGCCAGATGGTCCTCTGGGCTGGGCCCTGTGTCCCGCACAGGCTGCGTGTCACATTCTTCCAAGGTGGCCTGGGATAAGGGGGTGTCCTGGCTGAGGTGGGTTTAGGACTCTACTTCATGGCCCCGAGATTGGGGAGGGGACAGCCTCGCCCCTGGAAGGGGGTCCCGCACACCTCAGAATCCAGCTCAGCAGAGGAGAGGCTGGCCATGCCTGCATGTCCTAGGCACATGCATGTGCACACATGCACACGCACGTAAGCACCAGTGCTAGCTCAACCTCCCTCCTCTCTCCACAGACATCTTACAGTACTACCTGGCCTGCTCCCCGAGAGCCGCCAACCCCTTCCAGCAGGTGAGTCCTTGAGAGGTTGACACACCTTGTTTCTGGGGGTGGGGGGCTGGGGAAGTCTGTGTGGCGTTGCCGATGGTTAATGACCTACGTCTGAGTGTCAACTGCAACCAGGAGCTCCCCTAGGCTACTTTGGCTGGCAGGGAAGGATGTATGTATTGGGGGCCAGGAGGGGCCACCGAGGCCGGCTCTGTGGAATGGCAGTCTGGGGACAGGTCTGTGTAGTAGTGGTCTGGGGACTGGTCTGGGCCAGTTTGTGGTTCCACCATTATCCTCATCAGGGTCCCAGCGTCTGTGCTTTGGTGGGGGGTGGGTGCTGAACCACACCCTGAGGGGGTGGGGGGCTGTGACAGTAAGCGAGGTGTCCTGGCAGCCAAAGCTAGCTGCCATTAGGCGGGGGTATGCCCAGGACAACCTCTGCCCCCGGGGCTGTCTGCATGCCCCGGGGCGTCTGGCTGCTCCTCCACCCGGGCCAACCCCACCCTCTGTGTGTGCAGAAGCTGTCCGGCAGCCACAAGGCGCTGGTGGAGATGCAGGACACCGTGGCCCAACTCCTCAAGTCGACCTCTCGCGAGACCCCGGCCACCAAGGTGCAGCGTGCCGGGGCGGGGCCACACCAGGGCCGCCCTGCATCTCCTCCTTCCCCACGGAGACTCCTTAGATTTGCTCAATGAGCTCTTGAAAACAGTTTTTAATGGAAGAAGAAAACTGCAGTTGACAATTCCTAGGCTCCCCTGAGGGTGTCCTGGGAATGCGGTGTTCCTGGCCTCTGGGAAGGGGTGGGGCCTGGCTTATGCCAGTTTCTGTCACCGCCAGGCCGTCCAGTGAGGCTTCTGCATGGCTTCAGAGAGCTGACACAC